CCGACTCCGCCGAAGCTTCACCACCCAGAGCCCTCCATGTCACCGAGGCTCCGTCATGGTCGGACCGGTGCTCCGGGCTGTCCCGGGAAGTCAGCGTCCTCCGTCCTCGGTGCCCGGCCTCGGGGCGCTTCAGTCCGGCTAGACAGCCCCACCCATGCCTTTCCTCCGCCAAGCGGGTGCAGGGCAAGACCCCATATCGTCTCTCTGAGTAGCAGGAAGGACCGAGCCCAGGGCACAGGGTTCTGAGGGGCCACAGCCTTGCAGCTGGCACGTCACACCGGGTCCCCTGGGGTTTGCCAATGAGGCGAGGCGGCGTCCGTCTGCGGGCAACTCGGCGAGGGCCCTGCCTGTGCGCTGCCGGGAGTTAAAGTTGGGCTGGTGGGGGAGCTGCCGGCAGGCCCGGCCGTGGAGCTGAGGCTCCTCTGGAGCCAGGGCGCCCGGTGGATCGAGTTCCCGCCGGTAACTGGCTCCGTTAGAGCGAGTAGGTGGGTCCCATTGGCGGCCTCCCTCCCCCCTCTGACCAAGTGTGTTCTGGACAGAGGTAGACTGCCAGGAGCCAGTCCATCCTTGCTGTTTCAAGGGACCTGGCATATACGGCATACTGTTCTTAATATGTTTGCTCACCTTCTTGGCACTATGTTTTAACCAAGGTCACCTCTCCGAGAAAGGTTGTTTCCCCAGGTAGGGATTTTCCCCTGAAGTTAGGGAGGGAATAAAACCTCTTAACTAAAGTGCCAGGTGGGTAATTAATCACTTTAACTACGAACAATCATGCTTAAATTACATAATCTTTACTCCCTGGAATGGAGATAAGAAACGCCCTAACCTTTGGAATAGAGATTGATAGGATTGGAATCAACTGGTATAAATACAGATGTAACAAGACAACAGGACACAGAACTTAGATGAACATCCTAGACACAGAACTTAGAAGATAGAACCTACACAGAACCTAGAGACAGAAGAACTTCGCTGGAGAGAACATGGCAAAAGATCCTGGACAGAACGTGGCTACAGAACTTGGCTGGAGAACCTAGACAGAACCTGGCTGAAGAACCGGCTACAGAACCTGGCGACCGAACCTGGCTGGAGAACCTAGCTGGAGATCCTAGACAGAACTTGGCTGGAGAACTGGCTACAGAACCTGGCTGGAGACCCTGACAAGAAAACCCGGCTATGATGATCACCTGAACGCTGCCTCTGTGTCATTCCTTCTTCGCCGACTCCGTCCACACCTTTGGGGACCCCTGGACCTGCTGGGGTTGGACTCCAGCAGTAGACCAAGTTCTCCGAGAAGCAGACACCCGGCAGACAAACTGTGATGGCCGGCCGGATGGACAGACAGAAGGGGATGCAAGGCGGGTGGGGCCGGGGGACCCAGGCCTGACCCTGTGTGGCTGTGGGGGCAGCACTGGGTTGGAGTGGCCTCCGAGGGAGGTGGCCAAGTTGTAACCAGCACCCGTGTCTGGACCAGCTCCCCGGGTCCTTGGTGGCTCTCCGGCACCCACAGGCTCTCCCTCCCCCACAGGCGCCCGGCAGGTCGTAAAGCCTTGGGGACTGTCCCGGGGCAGCAGCCCTGGAGCCAGGGGTGGCACAGGCACCGGGGGCACCACGCTGCTGGAGCCCAGTGCGGCTGCACCTGCAGGCCACCTGCACACGGCACCTGC